CCCGTGTCCCCTGCATCGGGCAGGCGGACTCTCAACCACTGCGCCACCAGGGAAGCCCAAGAAAAGCCCTTTTGGACTGTGACAGGCTAAGAAAATGCAACGAAATATGCCCAGGGCGATGAGGTTCCCCAGGTGCCATCACTGAGAGATCCAGCAAAGTGAACTGAGAAGCAATGCAGTGGAGCAGAAGCTCTGTCACTAGCTAGCTATGTAAACTTGGGCTCCGGTGCCTCAGTTTCCTCACCTTTAAAATGGGAATAACAGCACCTATCACATAGAATTGTGGTGATAATTCAATGCATGTCAAGTGCTTAGAAAAGTACTTGGCCCTTAGTAAGTGCTCAGTAGATGCTAGGTGTTTTGATTTTCAAGTGTATGTAACAAGGGCTAAAAAAGCCTGCAGGGGAGGGTCAGACTTTGGACTCTGACAGATTCAGGGTTCAAATCTAAGCTTGGCTGTTTACAAGCTGTGTGACCTTGGGCAAGCTACTTAATGTCTCTGAGCTTCAATTTTCTCCTCTGTGAAACCTCTTGCATGTATGATGACTGGTTCCTCTTAAACACTGAACACTGGCAGCTGTTATTACGTTATTATCATCATCATCCCCCTTCCCTTCTCCTCAGCCACCTTCCAAGCCCAGATGCTCACCCCTCTCACCTCGCTCCTCCTCCTTCTCCCGAATGACCCTCCCCTTGAGGGCCCGGCTCCAGGCTCCCCCGTAGTCCACCAGCTTGGCTCTCTCATTCCCGTCCTTGCCCTTGAACCAGGGTCCATACCTGCGGGCGATGCTCGAGGTTTCACCTGTATCCCGGAAGGCTCTGCCCAGATTTAAGTCACCCAAAAAGGGCAACTCAGCGCCCTCCGCTGGGGCCCCCGCAGCGGGGTTGGCCTGGTTCTGGGAGACAGCAGGCTGACCCACAAAACCAGAGTGAAGGAAGACGAGGCTCCCAGCTGTCAGGTAGAGCACCAGGAAGGTAAAGAAACGTACAGGTTTCCTGCGGAAGTACCGCTGGAATTTGAACCAGAGCTTGGCCATAGCGGGATCATTCCGGACTGGATCGTTTCGGCTCCGCTGGGGGCTGGGGGGTGTGATCCAGGGAGGGAATGGAGGCAGTGCTCTGCTTCTCAAGCTTCCCTTAGGGATGCAGTCCCTGGGGGTCTTCAGTCTTAATCCGTCTGCGAAGGTGACTGCCAAGATCAGAGCGGGAGGGCAAGTCCAATGCCTGGCTGAAGCCAAGAGAATAGAGGACAGAGTTCACCAGCCCTCCCGGAGCCAAGGTGAGCTTCTTTGGGCCATGAAAGGGGTTCTGAGGCTTGGGACACGCAGGAGTTGGTCCCATTTTCCTACATCTTGTTCTTTGCCTCAGCGTTCCCAAAGAACTTTGAAAATAGCAATCGGAGGAGGATTTTGTGAGGCTTCACCAGCAGCTGGAGTTCGCTTCTTGCCCTTTCTCAGTTGCTCAGGCCTGTAGGGGCTGGATTATTTCACTGAGGGCCGTGTCTGGCCTCTTCCCCAGCTGGGGACCACGCTCTGTGTGCCCACCTGGCAGAAACAGAAGCTAGCGGGCTTTCATCCGGTTAAGCATTCGGGCTCAGGGCCATCACCTGCAAAACAGCACAGGTACAGGCATAAGAAATCTCCTCATAGAGGCCAGAACTCGAAGCGTTCTTGAACATTCTCAAAGGGGGATGCAGAGTCAGAGAGGGGAGGAAACCAGCGGCTCAAAGCACCCAGCAGTGCTGGGTAGAAGCGAATCCTACTGGGTCCTGGTTTGAGGGCAAGCTTTATCTTGGACAAGCACAGGTTCTTATGCCCCACACGTCTGCATATTTGTCAAATATACACTGATTCGTGGGTTACCTCAAGGCCAAAAAGTACTTCCTAGGTCCTTGCTGAACTGTCTGCTGGACCTGGCTGGTACTGAACCAGATCAAATTCATTCATTTTTTTTCCCAACAAATGTTTAGTGAGCACCTACTGTGTAGCAGGCACTGTCCTAGGTGCTGGAAATAAAGCTGTAAACCAGAGAGACACAGTCCCATCCCTCACAGGGCTCACATTGTAATGGGAGAGATCAAATCCATAGCCCCTCTCTTCTATCCAAGGAAGAAAAGAAGGAAGGAAAGCAGAATTATTTAGCAACATACGCATTCACTCAGTATTTATTGAGTGTCTCTGGTATGCCCTGCTTTGTGCCAAGCCTTTTATGTGTATTAATGATTCTTCCCCATGTTCCTGTGGGAAGTAACTATTTCCCATTTTACAGATGAGGAAACTGAGGACACACAGCTGGTGAGTGGTGGAGGTGGGATTTGAACCCAGGATGGTCCAAACACAAAACCGCAGCTCTGAACCCCTGCCTTTTTGACACTCTTTCTCCAAGTGATGGTCTGGGCATCACTTGGGAATCCAGAGACAGCCCCTGAAGCAGCAGCCCATCTCCACTGCCTCCCAATGACCAGCAGTGGCTCACCCTTTGAGGGTCCCTCAGAGTGTGGTCTGAGGAGCATCTGATTCAGAAACACTTGGCAGCCTGGTTAAACATGAAGTTTCCTGACCTCTCCAACCAGAATCTCTGGTTGAAGAGGACACCTGCAGGTGTAACAAGGTGCCCTCAGGTGATGGTAATGAGCACAAAGGTTTGAGAACCACGGCTTTATGAGTCAACATTCAGAATCATCAGCCAGGAGGAAAATAGAATCTAAATTAGAAAATAGAAGACTCCACTTGGCCTATGTTGTTTCATTTTACCACCAGCAGGGGGCCTCATGACAATCTTGGCCAGTGCAAAGAATTCAGCTGTCAGCCAGCGGGTGATTTGAATGGTAACAGCCCCTACCAATCCAGACAGCAGCATGGGAGTTTAACTGTGGTTCAAGGTAGAGTCCAGTGTCCCTCCATATGCCATCCTATTAATTCAGGAACTAAGTACTGAGCACCTACATGCACCAGCTACTGTTGCAGGCACTTGGAATAATTAAATGAACAAAACAGCCCCAAATCCATGCTCTCGCGGGGTCAAACTATGTGTTCATCCATCCATCCATCCATCCATCCATCCATCATCCTTTAATCTATCCAGCAGTCCACCTACCCATCTGTCAAGTCACAATCTATTCACCCATCCATCATCCATTCTTTAATCTACCCATCAATTCACCTACCCCTCCATCCATTCATCATTAATCTATTCATTAATCCATCCACCCATCCATCCATCTATCCATTCATCTGAACTGTAGCAGCCCACTCATCCATCCAACTCTCCACCCATCCATTCATCCACCCATTCTTCCATTCATTTAACAACATGTGTTGCTTGCCTACTGTATGTGTGCTTGGAATGCAGAAATAAATAACTCAGAGTTGCTGCTTTCAGAGAATTCAGAATCTACTGAGGGAGCCAGCAATTTAAACAATCACTATACTAAATCACTATACTACATAGACAATGATAAATCCCATAGTAGATGTATATGTGATATAGAGCAGCAATTAATATTAACAGCTAATGTTTACCAAGCACTTATTATGTGCCAGATACTGCTCTAAATGCTTACATACTCTGATTTAATCCTCATAACAATTCAATGAGGGAGATCTGTATCTACTTTACAGAGGCGAGGAATGAGGCTCAGAATTATTAAGCAACTTGTCCAGGGCCACACAGCTGTGAAGTTGCAGCTGGATTGTGAACCGAGGCCCATCTGATTTCACAGCTTGTATTCCTAACCACATGCCTATTCCGGACTTATATCCCTTTGAGAATATGGCGAAAACTACAGACATATGCCCAGAAAAGAGCCCTTGCACATAAGCTCCTAGATTTTGGCTTACAATGTCAAGGGGTTTCTGGACCCCGGGGTAAGAAGCCCTGGAATACAGGAGCCCAGAGAAGTGAGGGACTGTAGCTGCCCTGAAGGGCTTCTCCCAGGAGGGGTCTTTAAGCTGGCAGGTCTTGCAAGGGGAGTCAGCTTTCTGTGTGAAGGAACAGCAGAAGGACACCTTAGGGAGGAGGAAGAGCACACGCGGCCCGCAGGGCACTGGGGTGGAGGCAGCCAAGGAGCTTAGGGCATGGTGAGAATGCAGGGAAGCGCTGGGTGGGGTCAGACCCTGGGGAGCCTTGAATGCCAAGCTCAGAAGTCTGGACTGTGCTCTAACTGAAGTTTCACCAGTCTCCTATCAGCTAGAAAACCTCCAGGCAGTGGGTTGTGCCCCACGGTATTTCGTGTAGATCACACACATGGCAGAGACTTCTGCAGCTGGGACAGGATGAAAAAAGGCCAGCAGCCCTCAAGGGAATGGGCAGGGGACACCAGCCCTTCCAGAGACAGGCAAGCAAGAGCATGGACTCTGGAGGCAGACCGACCTGGGGTCAAACCCTCCCTCTTCCGCCCGCCACCTATGTGATTGGGGCAAGACACCTCTTCTCACTGACTGAGGCTCCTTTCCTGGGGAGTGGACAGTAAGAAGCTTGACACCACCCCCGCCCCGCAAATACTGCCGGCAGGATTGCATTAAAAATTGTAGGAAGACTGCCTGGCACATAGTAGGTGCTCAAGAAAAGCCTCCGGCCACTGTCCCTCTCGTGAGCACATGTGAGCTGCCATCAGAGCCACTTGCTACAGCAGCACATTTGCTGCGGGCATGAAGACAGTAAAGATTTCAGCTGTTCTGTTCCCTGTGGCTTTTTGTCTTTCTGAGGATATTTCTGGGTGTAGTTCTTTTTTGTTGTTCCCTTCTCATTCTTTTATATTTCAACACATCTTTCCTCTAAGTGGGTGCCAAATGGGTTTTAAGAGGATAATGAGCTCATTAGAAGCTGGCAGGGAACAGAAAGAGACTGAGGCAGCAGTGGTGGGAAGAGCGAGCGGGGGAAGGGGGGTTCTGACGAGTCACCCACACCATTCTGCCAGTGCCAGGAGGTGGGGGGGGGTCACCTGGACGGAGAACACTCTGGAATCTGAGCCCTATGTAAGTGGGACCCGACCTGTGCTCTCACAGTGTCAGCCCCAGCCTCTGGGACACAGTAGGTCCCCAAGAAACACTAGTGCAGAAAATGAGTGAGAAGACTCAGAGGACTGACCTCTCCCTGTGGCTTAAACCTACACCAATGGGTCCATGCCATGTGCCAAACGCCCCGCGTGACAGCCTAAGGGAGCCGTAAATTCAGGGCGCTGTGGAGGCAGCTCTGTGTGGTCCTGGGGTGCAGGGGCCCCCACTGAGCCACAGTCCCACTTCCCCCAGGGAACTTTCTCTCTCATGCCCATCCATCATCCTTTCTCTCCTGTCTCTCCCTCTCTCTCTCTCCAAGTCTCTCTCAATCTCTCTTTGCCTCTGTCTGTCCAGACAGAACTGGGGAATGAAGCTGACTGCCATTGGCTGAAAACCTACCATAGGCTGAACACTGTGTTTAAAGGTTTTACAAACATCTTCTCACAAACTCCTCCCTCCTGGCAACCTGCAAGGCAGGTGTGATGGTTCCCCGTACTCCACAGCTTGTGTCTGTCCAACCCTGGGCAGGGGGCATGGCTTGGCCTCCAGAAAGCCCCTTCACCTCTCAGTTTCTGTTTGTTCATTACATGCTGGAAGCCAGAATCACATTAACATCCTCTCCCGTCACCTATGGGTGTGAGAGTCGGGAAGGTGTCTTCACCTCTCTGAGCTGCCGATTTCTCTCTGCAGAGTGGGCGGCCCATAGAATCTCCCTCCCGGGGTTTAGGGAGGCCTTGAGGAGATAACCCATAGGGGCGGAGTTGACACTCGCTAAAAGCTGGCTGTCATTGCTTCATATCTCTGTGTTTTACGTGAGACCGCCCTCTGAGCCTCAGTTTCCCCATCTGTTGAAAGTGATGGATGCCCCCTACCCTGCCTCCAGGGTAGTGTGAGCTGCCACGAGGGTGAGGCTGAGAGGCCCCCTTTTGCGGGCATGACAGTATTTGGTTACTGTAGTTCGTGTTTCCAGCCGGAGCCCTGGAGTGTCTAAACACAGCCTATTTTTAGCACCAGAATGAACCTCGGGTGCTGAGCTGCCAAGAGAATGATGGACAGGGCAGAGCTGCCCTGTGGGAAGGGAGACCAGGAGGTGCAACCTGCCCCGTGGCTCCCTCCCTGGGAGGGGCCGTAGATTCTGGGGAGCAGGTTAGTCTGGCTAGAAGCCCAGGAGGCTGGGCAGGAGCTGGCTCTCCCTCCACAACTCCCTGAACTTGACTTGAGGGCATAAGCCCAGGCACCAACTGACCCCTTGACCATCCAAACTTGCCAAGAAATAGCTGCTGAGAAACCAGGTTTATGACAGTTCAGTTTCTTCAGTTTTTCTCCAAGAAACTGAGAGCCCAGGCCAAATAATAACAATATCAGAAATCACTGGTATTTGTTAAGCATTTACTATGTGCCAGGCACTGTGCTGAGTATCTTATTTCCATTGCACCACTTGATCCTCACTAGAACCCTTTGAGATGGTTATTAATCTCACTTTCCCCATCCATAAAATGAGGGAAATAATAGTACTTATCTCATAGTGTTGGTGTGAGGACTAAATATTAAATTGAATTATTAGGTAAAAGTGTCACCTGTTACCTCTTATTATGATCTGTAGAGAATA